GAAACGAAAGCAACAATGTAATTACACCGTAAGGTAGCAATAGAACATTTGGTACTAAAACAGCAAATATAAGGCCATTAGGTTCATAAAAACAATGCAACAAAAAAGTTCGTAACAAAGTTCGAATAAACATCAAACAAGGCAATTGTTTGATTTGTTGTAAGGACCGGGTCACACGATCCATTGTTGGAGATTGAAAAGAGTTAAAAGCCAGGTTTCATTACAAATTCCTTTGTCTCACAAACTGTATTTTCATTTACATGCTTAAGGATTATATTAAATACAGTTAACTCACTTTAGAATATTATAATCATCAGCACCTCAGCCTATGCTTGTCCACTGCTGGACATAGGCCTCTCCCAATGATTTCCAGCGGGGACGGTTGATTGCGGCCTGCATCCAACGGTTTCCGGCAACCTTCACCAGGTCGTCCGTTCATCGGGTAAGCGGTCGTCCCACACTGCGCTTACTGGAAAGCGCAGTGTGGGAATATTATAATAAGTTGTACATAACTTTTTAATAAAGTGAAGCCCATCATTTTGCTGAATACCAACGAAATATTTGACTTTCATTCATTGATTTAAGGTCTTCTTTAGTATAAATAGACTCGTTAACTAAAACTCAACAACTAAGTAGTTACGGGGAAATTATGAGTTATTTTCTATATGAATGATAACTTCTGTACCTTGTCCCGTTTCTAGATTGTTTCAAATCGCCTCTTACGTAATAAATCTAAAGTTATAGATCGACACACACAATAACAATAATCTGTTTTGCCAAATATAGGTTTAGTAAAATAAATATTTTGCTATACTAACACCAGAACACAGGTAGCTAGATGACAGAACAGAAGACCCATAGAAGTAACTAAAATAAAAGCTTTGCTGTTTGTTTCATCTTTCTTTAATACATATTATCATGTGGAGACGGAAAGAATACGGAGTATCACCATCCCTATTCATCCCGTGGGTGTCGTAAGAGACGACTGGGGGACCAAACTACTCAGGACAACAGCACTACAAAGAGAAGGAAAACTTGACACAAACCCTATACCAACCCGTCTGACCAGCGTGGTATAGTAGGCCAAAACCTCCTTCCTAAGGAGACGTCTATGCCCAGTAGTGGACTATGATCTGATGATGATGATAATGATGATAATTTTTTGAGAAACGATAATTTGTGCACTACCCTACATATGCATCGTCTACGCATACCTTAACACAGTCAGTTTTTAATACCGCGACGTAGTAATGAATGTTCGTAACAGACAAAGCTTGTTTGGATTGTGACGTATTGATGTGAGCGCAGGGCATAATAAAAGGTCAAAGCAACTTATTTTGCACTTTTTGGTTTGTCGTCCTAGCTTTGAACGTTAGTACCTTGCAAGCGTATTTAATAAAGTAAAAAGGTGTGTACGTGGATTTACATTTTTCTTATGAGTCGAGAGATTCAGAGTTTCATCATGGAGAAATTGAATCTCGAAATATTACTGCTTAAACTAAGAAAATAATCAAGCTTTATAAGAAAAAGTTTTCTATACCAATATAAGACATCAAATTTAGGTAGTTGATTGTTTTGCTGGGAAGTGTTCTGAAACAGCTAAAAACAAATATCAAACCTAAAAGTCAGTCATAATTAAATTTTAAACTCTTACAGATCCGATTCTAGAGTAGACTGGGTATTAGTGATGGAATAAAATCACAATCACATGTGATAAATAATATGATTTGTTAATCATTTCGTCACACCTGTGACTGATTTACAAGACCACTGCTAGTTAATTATTATTATTACGCTAGCGCAAGACTGGCGAAAGGTCTAAATCTATAGAAAAACTCGTATTTTTGATAATAATAATTTTGATTGATTTTAATACCATTTTTCTTTGTATATGACGAAATCACAATCACATGTAAATCGCTGTAACTTAAACCAATCATTTCAACAAATGAATATGATTTAAAAGTAGCAATAACTTCCATGTCTACTGGGCATTGGGCAAGCTGACCCCGAATCTACAGTCTGCTTGAGGCCACAACCCGTGCAATCTGGTCTAAACGTTAGATCATTCAATGGCAAGTAATACTTTTGAATCGCGTCTAATTCTGAGGTAATAATTATACAGTACAAAATCATCCAAGAGTTTTCTGTAAATAAAAACAAAATAAATGCAGTCCAAAGTTCGTTTAAAATTAATTTGCCTTTGATTTCGAATCAATTCTTTGGACTCATCATTCTTCCGACACTGAAGTATAAAAGCCGTTCACAGCCTAATATTCGAGATAGCCTATTAATATTAAGACGGTTAAAATTATGTTTTGGGATCGAAGTGAACACTCACTCTATTCTGCCGTAGCTCATTTTGTTAAATTGAAAATTTGCTATCAAATAAACTTGACAAAAGATAAATCAACAAAGATAAAACAGCAGAATTTCGAATACATAGTTAGTTCTAGATTTGTAATAAAATAATTTCAATGTTTTAGCTGCTACATTTGTTTGGAATTTAAAGATGCTTGGGTTTTACTTCAATTGTTACAAGGCTATTTAAAAAATCCTTTATTTGGATGTTGATACAAGTATATGTATTTTTTGGGAATGTGAGATTAGTAAAGCGTTCTATGCGAATTATGCACATAATTCAACCCGCATTGGTAATAAAAATGTTTATCTCAATCCCACAAAATCTGGTTAGTTGATAGAAAATATTGGAATGGGGGCTTAGTAGAATCTGTGCCATTGACTGACTGAATATTTTCAGACTAGCGACAGTAGAGTTATTTGCGCGAGCTTTACATCATTCTTTGGGATTGCAGAAAGTGCCAAAAAGTTCACTGTTTATTGATGAAAATTGTTTGTTGTAATTGATAAGCCACCACACCAATGGCACAATGTAGTTTATTTGAAATTCAATACAATTTATGGTTTCACAGGTCGGACAGGTGTCTGTCGTTCAACAGTTTGATCTTGAACTGTTAATAGGCTTATAATAGGGTTTCGCTACCATGACAGGACTTTTATTCATTAAATTTGTAGTTGTATAACTTTAAGTTTTAATTTTCTTTTTTACTTTCTGCACTTCTTTTATATAATGCATATGTATATAAGTTGAGTATTCCAAATTTAAGATAAAATTAGGAAGTAGTTAAAAATTCCGTGTGGTGACGGATTAACAATACGGAGTGTCTCCACCCCTATTCTTCCCGTGGGTGTCTTAAGAGAAAATACGCAAAGGGAGCAAAATACGCAAGACAACAGTATTGCAAAGAGAAGGAAAACTTGAAACAAACCCATACCAACCCGTCTGGCCGGCGTGGTACAGAAGGCCAAAACCTCCTTGTAACGAAGAGGCCTTTGTCCAGCAGTGGACTATTTAAGGCTGATGATGTGATGTGATTTGAATTAAAAACTCTTTATTAATAAATGAGAAATGCAGATAAACAGTTACTTTTATTGCTCCGTGAATATATCAATAAATAATGAAAATCATATTTTTAAAGTAGCCTATGTTAGTTTTTGGATTCTTGATAACGTGTGCCCAAAATAGTATGATCAAGTACTTAAAGATGAAATCTTAACCAATACTAATACTAACTGACAATCTCATTTATAATATAAGTTAATATTGAATTACTCTGGCTGCACGAATGGGTTTGTTGTATAAACTAAGAGTTCATTGAGGGTTGTGGTTTCGGTTTCCAACTATCCAACTTCTCTATAAACTATTGGTGCGGTGTCTTCTTCTGTGTAAAGGATTGTTAGATATATATTTCTTGAGTGGTTCTTAATACGAAGAATAGTATCTTATGCATGAATAATATTAACAAAAGAATAAGAGGGTCTCTTTTATTCGTTCATATTTCGACGCTAAAATTCTGAGAAATGGTGAATGTTATTAGACTTATATAAAAATACGAAAAACGTAAGACGTATAAGTACTCGGAGTTCGACCTTCATTATTTTCATAAAATACAACAATACATGTCGTGTTGTGTTGCCCAATTAAAATCGAATCATAAATCTTTATCTCGATTTAACAAATCGACAAAAACATAATACTTTAGCTAACAGACAATAAATCCATTTGAATGGGCTAACCTTTGAACAGGGTCGCATAGAAATCCTCACAATTGTGGGCAATGTAATTATACTTGAAAAACTCACGACTCGTGTCCCTAAAATACAATTGGTCCCAGTGAAAAGCCCTGCGTGTACCGCGGGAGTTTTTGATGAATTTCTCAATTTGATGTAATGACTCTTGGAAATTGCCAACCAGTATTCATGAAGTTGGGTAAAATTGAGAGCGTAAATGATTAATAACATACTATTATGAATGGAATTGTGTTTGTAGAGGATTCAAACATTTTTTTTTATTGTTACAGAAAAATGCTTGGTAGTACTTATTTATGAACGCTATACATATAAGCTTCGTGTACTAAAGTTAAAGGGTATTCTTTGGTCTTAGTAGATTGCTGAAATTACCCCATTTTGACCGACTTCAAAAAGGAGGAGGTTATCAATTCGGATGTTTAATTTTTTTAAACGTATGTTCGGTCATAACTCAGCCATATTTAGACGGATTTGCAAAAATCTTTTTTTCTTAGAAAGGGGTTTATTCCGAAATGGTCGCGTTTTAATTTCATATAGATCTGATGAGTGTCGGAACTCTTAACAAAATGACAGCAAATCAACCGCGATTGCTGCTATCGCATAAATATGCATTGTTAACGCTATCACAGAACATAACATCACGCGTGTACACTCGAAAGGGTTACGCAGATGTATTCAGTATATCAGGGTGTACCCACATTTTCTATCAAAGTTAGTAGCGGCTGCATATTTTTTCATGACTAGAAGCTAGTTTAATTTTAAATGCTCTTTGTTAGTATTTGTTAAAGTCGGTTCAACTTAAAAATAGTAATTTATCTTGTATGTAAATAAGCTAAACAGCTCTAAATAATATCTAATAGGACGAAATAACTGAGTGGGCTCGGGAAACCTCACTCACTTGGTGAAGAGCAACGAAAGAATTGATTAACACTGGTTTTCTGTGACGCCATGGCTTCACTCCGGTAGAACCGGCCCATTTGTGACGTCATGACATCACACCGGTAGAACCGGCCCATTTGTGACGCCATGGCATCACACCTGTAGATCCGGCCCATTTGTGACGCCATGGCATCATGCCAGTAGCGCCGGCCCATTTGTGACGCCATGGCATCATGCCAGTAGCGCCGGCCTATTTGTGACGCCATGGCATCACACCTGTAGATCCGGCCCATTTGTGACGCTATGGCATCATGCCAGTAGCGCCGGCCCATTTGTGACGCCATGGCATCACACCTGTAGATCCGGCCCATTTGTGACGCCATGGCATCATGCCAGTAGCGCCAGCCCATTTGCCCACTCATTGTATCTGTACTTTTTCTACATACAAACTTAAAGTAAACGGGCAATTTCGTCTGCTTCTCTCAAAAGGAATAAATTTGTGGCCCTGTTTTAGCAACATTTTTCATTGATACTCCGCTCTTATTGGTCGTAGCATGATGTAGCTATATCCTTCCTCGATAAAAGGGCAATCTAACAGTAAAATAATTTTTCAATACGAACCATTAGCTCCTGAGATTATCCCGAACATCCAAACTCACAAATTTTACTTCTTTATAATATTAGTATAGTTTATAAATTTCCCATCCATCCACCCGCAAAACTTTTCGGTACGTTTTAATATGTAGATTCGGCAATACTAAGAGGATGCTTGGATATAACTTAAACTGAAATCGACACAAAGCGCTAAGTAAAATTTCGATATACCGTGTGCCGTGTTCTAAAATACACAAGTTGAAGTAATTTCCAAGAAATTGAACGCAAACTTGTCAGAACTTTGACCGAAGCCTGATTAGAACACGGTTGAATGCAAGACCATTTTCTTGTCATGATGCGTTTACTTCTAGGAAAATTTCGCGAACGGAAAAATGAGAAATTAAAGTTTACACGAAGAATCAGTACGCTGAAGTGACATTGGGCCGGTCATGGCTCTAGGCGGACTTACGAGTACGATTGCTGGAGTCGACATGTGTTAGATGAGAGACTGCTATTAAGCAAACGTAGTGTAGGGCGCCCTGCGGTACGATGGACCGATGACTTGAGGAAAGTGGATGCCAGGGGATGGATGCCGTCTGCTCAAGACCAGGAAAATTGACGCTGCTTTGCGAAAGCTTTCATTCAGTAAACAGCGATAGGGTGATGATGGTTTACATTACAGAAGTTAAAAAAACTGATAGGAGAGGCGCATGTGAGGTGTTAATATTTTTTCTAATAAACGGTGAAACAAGTCTTGTATATGAGGATGGTAAGCGGTTATATACACTCGGGACTCTAGAGCTGATGTTGTGAGTTGTGTTGTAATGTAATTTTATCTAGCTCTAGCGATTCTAATCACCAGGGAGAATACAAGTATGTCTCGTTTAGCCGTACTCCAAGATAATGACGCCATGAAATTCAAAATGGCCGTTACTACATACAGTTTGAAACATTGTTGTTTGTATAACTTCGGGTGCTTTTTACGTTTAAACTTCAGTAATAAATTAGTTAACATCAAAATTGTGAAGTGCCCGTTGCTGGTATAAAAAACGCTTATGAATAATCAAAACTCCTCGTCTAGTGAAGAGTGGCTTCTACAGGAAAACGCCGTGATGCTTGTACCTTTTTTTTTTTTTTTTTTTTTTTTTTTTTTTTCCGTGCGGAAATCCCCTCGGATACCACCTGTCGGTGGCATGTCGGACTCGAACCGACTAAAACCGCACGCCTTCGCCGGGTACTAATAGCCGGGGAACCAGGTATACCCTAGAAAGGAAGGCCCTGGTGCCCCGACATACCTCGGGTCATCTACAGACGAGTAGACGACCCCCGCCCCGTGTGGGAACCCCATGTTCCCTGTGCTCCCTGGAAGCGAGCGCGCTTCGCAACGCGCTCGCCGCCACCCCGGCCTGCTTCTGCTAGGGTGACAGATGGCCTCACCTGTCACCCCCAGGCCTGCGCTTATGGAGGACGGAGGTCGTTCTGCGACCTCCGGCGCCTGAGTGACCTGCGCTGCCTGGCCCGTGCCCGGGCCTGGCGGGCCGGGAGAGTTCTAAACCTCTCCCGGTCCCGCTCCGCCGTCTCCTTCGCGAGCATAACTTGCTCGCAGAAGGAGACGGCAGAGTTCCACGCACTCTCGCTCCGCACGATAGCCGCAATCAGGCTATCGAGCGAGAGAACTCCCACTCCGATGGCCGCCACGAGGTCTCGCCTCTGCTCAACCCACGCCGGGCACTCTGCCAGCGTGTGGAGAGCCGTGTCCACGGTCTGGCCATCGCAGTGGTGGCACTCAGGCGTTGGCTCCTTGCGGATCAGACACAGGTGATCTCCGAAACATCCCTTCCCAGTGATCACCTGCGTCAATCGGTATGAGAGGGTCCCGTGACGCCTCTCGAGCCAATCCTCCATAACGGGTCTTACCGCCGCAATGACGGCGTGCCCAGCGCTCGGTTGCCCGAGTCGTTCCCTCCACTCCCCTATGATGACCTGGCGGAGTTGGGATTTCCGGTCATCGATTTCTCGAATCTCGGGGCACGTGATGCTTGTACCTGAGAGTACTTAAGTACCTCACTGTGGGAGTAACTTTAGTAATACCAACTCGTGTTTTACGTAATTTTAATTTCTTCGTCAGCTTTGCCTGAAACTCATCCGCGAGGATGAACTTAAATAAAAAAAAAAAAAAAAAAAAAAAAAAAAAAAAAAAAAAGGCAGCCAAGTGCGTGTCAGGTTGTGCGCGCAGCGTAGGGTTCTGTAATTAAACATCAGTTTTAAATTAAGTTACAATTCTATTTAAATTGTGTATTGACAGTGGGAGAGCAATGTTTGAACTTAACTAAACTTATTTATTATAAACCTCCTTTCTAAGGAGAGGCTTATGTCCAGCAGTGGACTATTAAAGGCTGTTGATGATGATGATGATGAAACTTATTTATTACCATTTTTATTCAATAGGCGAAACGCACTTTCAGTTTTTCTGAGCTTTATATTTCAAAACTAAATTTTCTCAGAAATATACACAGATAAATTTTTCGTCTTAGTATTTTTAAATAAATATGTTTACCAACTATAAGCATTTCAATTTTAGAAGTTTAAATAGACTTTTTTAAAATATTAATATTAAGAGTACACGATATTGAATATTACCATTGGGTTATTATGCAGGAGTATTTTGTATGCGACACATAGTTTTGATATTTTGCCTCGAGCGTACAACGTACACTAATTAAATATAAACAGTTATATTTGGGTTTTATTTGTACTATAATCCAAGTGTTTTAGCAAGTAAGTAAGTCTTTGGATGCTTTTCTGAGAAATTCTGTACTATCGACTATTTTTTAGTGTGGTATAGAGCTATTTGTGCTTTTACAATAATATGAATTTATTTTAATTTTAAATTAAGTTACCTTGATAGTTCTGATATATAAATTAATGAGTTTTTGCTTCAAACTTTATTTTTTAAACTTTTCTTTTCCATGATGCCTATATATAGATATATGTTATGGTTACCAGAGCCAGCGCCCCCCTACCCAGGTGGAGTTTTGAGAGAGAGCTTTGAGTCCTGGGGGACTCAAAGAGCACCATCGCCCTGCACACCTAAATGTTACGTATAGATGTTATTTTTATAATTTACCCTGCGTGCAACATGATGGAAAGGTCAATCAATTCAAGGTTTGTAATGCTTATCCCTTGATTGCGTTCATTCACCAATATAGCTATGAACACAACAATATAGGTTACTTAGTTTATGGACTTAATTCCTCCATATTTCATTGTCACTGTCGACCATACTGTTATTGGTTTTTTCATAAACAATGTTGACTTATCAGAATTGTATTTAAAAACATACATTTGACTGCACGGATGGCGTAGTGGTTTAAGCGGTCGCCACGCCGCTTCCTACTACACCGAGTGTTGTGGGTTCAAACCCCACATGGGACGACACTTAATGTAATCCACAAATTCTTGTTCTGAGTCTGGGTATTCTTTGTGTCCGTTGTCATGTATGTTTGTAAAATCCCATTGACATTCGGTTCTCCGGAAGATCGAACTTACAACAAACTAAATAGCGTCAGTTAACATGATAATCATTTAAGATCTTCACCATTTGAAAAAAATGTAACCAGAAATAAAAGAAGTGAGTAGATTTAACAATACTATTTAACAACTCATAAATGTAGGAAATACAACACTAAATCATTTCTTTCGACCACCACAGTGCGTTGAACATTTTGTTCTTAACTTTATTTTGTAAGCAGCGACTTAGCGACCTTAAATCATAAAGGCAGGCTTTATTTAATATAAGCGCGCGGCTTTATGACGAGAGCTGTTGCTTGACTGAGTGCCGCAAGTTGCGAGGGAGAGAAGGAGTTGTGTTCATAGAAATTTATTTTTGTTGAGTAGTATAAGCAAAAGATAATGGTTTTTGCAATACATATATAATATATGTCGTATTACCAAATATCAAGTTGTTTTAAGTACAGTATGGCATGGTGGGTCACAACCCCTAATCATCCCGTGTGGTGTGGTAAGCCAACTAAGGGAGCAAATTACGCAGGACAACAACACTGAAAAGAGAAGGAAAACTTAAATCAAACCCTATACCAATCCGTCTGGCCAGCGTGGTATAGTAGGCCAAAACCTCCTTTCTAAGGAGAGGCCCATGCCCAGCGAGGGACTCAACAAACACCTTAGATTTATCTATGTATATACATTCTAAACACTGTTTTTATAGGCACTTTAGGTATTATTAATGTTGAACACGTCAGTGTGGCACCTGACACCGTAGCATCAAGACATTTATATATTTTTCATGGTAAAGGGAGCAAACAGGCAGATGGTTCACCTGATGGCAAGACTACCGCCACCCATGGACATCTGCAACTCAAGAGTTTCTAGTGAGTTGCCTGCCTTTCAGTCCCTCCCCCCAAAATCACGAGGAGCGGGAAGGTTTGGGCTCCTAATGTCAGAAGCAGGAACAAAACACAATTAACCAAGCTGAGCACTAATTACGGTTATAAATCTATATCATACGAAGGTGCAAAATTGTTTAACAAACAATCGAACGATCTCAAAGAATACACTAATATAAATGTATTTAAAAAAAAATTATATGAATAAGTAATGAAACTTTGATTATAAATTGTATTTTACTGAAGGAGGAAACATGGTCAAAGTTACGAAGACTAAAAATATATCGACTACTTTCAGATGTCGGACGTATTTGTTGTGGAGATCTGCATTCAGGTCGTAGTAGCACATCACAATAGTTTCTTATTTTAAATGAACTGTATAGTTATTTATAAGAAATAAAGTTCTTTGAACCGAACTCCACTCACTCGGTAAAAAGTACTGATAGAACTGTTTAATATCAGTTTTCTGTGAGGCTGTGGTATCGATCATGGTCGAGCCTGGTGCTTAATCCCGGTCCCTGCTCCCGGTCCCTGTTGACGGTCCCTGTTCCCGGTCCCTGCTCCCGGTCCCTGTTCCCGGTCCCTGTTCCCGGTCCCTGTTCCCGGTCCCTGTTCCCGGTCCCTGTTGACAGTTTCTGTTCCCGGTCCCTGCTCCCGGTCCCTGTTGACGGTTCCTGTTCTTGGTCCCTGCTCCCGGTCCCCGTTCCTGGTCCCTGTTCCCGGTCCCTGCTCCCGGTCCCTGTTCCCGGTTCATATTCTCGAAATGCGCACGTCACTTAAATTGTGAATCTTTAACAAACCTGAATACATGAAAGTTTTTATTCTAGTGACCTTCTTTAGGTCAGCAGTAAGTTTGTATGTATAATTATATAATGTATATTAATTTATTTTTACACTACGTTAGCTTCAGTACACCTAGACTACGAACTGTTTCTTTTTCTCTACTGTCGATTTGTCCTTTCAAAGGTTGCCTGTAAGATATTGCTATTAGCAATAAGGCCATTGTACATATCCATCTGTAATATTTAACCAACTTACTGTAATTTGTGTACAACAAAACATATTCTATTTGCTAAGCTAAAAAATCCCTATTTCTATTTCTACCTCATATAAATAATACAACGCTGTCACCTATAACTTGCACTGAAGTAGGCTAATTAAATTATTGTATTTTGTATTCCAACACGAAGCTGCAATTATGAGACAGTTTTGAGAGAAAAAAAGAAATTTTACGTATAACGCAAGCGACTCGAAGTTATTCCGTGTGCGAGACATTACTTACTTAACTATAATAATTAAAGATACAGTGTAAGTATTTTATGAATAGAAGGAGAAGTTGAAACTTTAAAATAGGCTAGATTAGTGTTAGTTCCGTCACCGGTTGAACCAATAACGTTGAAGAACGGAAGAAGTTGGCCTTACAGAAACAAACTGCTGCATGCCAATTTGGGAAACGGTTAGCCGTTTCGTGGAACCGTTCCATTTTGAGACTAGCATCGGTAGTAAATAAAGAAAGAACCGGTCCAGGGAGAAAAATCGTGTCTGAATGCATGCTGCAGGTAGTTAGTAAATAGCAGTCTTAAAGAATGACCCTATTATAATATCGATAATTTATAATCTACCACTGTGCGCTTTTTATGAAACTTTTGCCTTGCACGGTCAATCTGTGAACCAAATTGCACCCTGAAGTTCATTTCACGACCTCAAAACCATCAAGAAAAGAGTATTCCCTTACCTTGAAGGCGTGCAATGCGCTTGTGCATTTAATTATTAATTAACAATAGTCTTGTATTTATCACTACACTTACACAAAAGAATCGAATAGAATAAAATAATATTTATTTCATAAAGCACAGCATATAAAAATAAAACAAAAGTTAAAAAGAACAACACAAAGAATCTAAAAATCAAGTAAGGTTTGAGAATGTCAACATTTTACAATGTGTCAATCTTTCATATCTGACAGAATTGACATGACCGTCAATGTGCCACGTATCCAACCACGCGTCTATAGAATTTTACTTATAATACCTATGTTAGTACTTATCAACCTGTGTACCATAAAAAACCTTTAATGTTGCTGAGGATTGTACGCCGTGCTTCAGAAAATAGGTGGACCCTCAGTGTACACAGTGGTGGATAGATGCCACCTCAGTACTGATTTTCAGTGGCCACCTTAGTTGTTCAGGGTTCAAAAGGTTCAGTTCGAACTTTAGTAGTCGATATATGTTCATATTTATTAACTTCTTTAGTTATTCAGGAAAGTTTTTAAACGCAATGACATCAATACACATTTAACTGTTCCCATCACGCAATCAATAACCGTTAAACCCATGTCTCCAGGTAAATTAAACCTCTTGAAGCCTAATAAAAATTATTTACCTGTTTAGCGAATGTCTCACAAAATAAATCTAGCCAAATGTAACTCCAAGATATTCAAAAATTTAAAAAACTTAGCACAAATTAAACTCGTCTCATTCTTGTACACTACAAGAAGTGACGTAATCATGACGAATGCTGCCATTCTTCCTTCCTGTTCTCAGAGAAGATCAATAAAGATGTGAGCTGGGCTCGAAAGGCCTTAGCGCTGGCGACATATCTGAAACGTAAATTATTTTTTAAGAATTAGTATCATTAGAAAACCGGCCAAGTGCGAGTCGGACTCGCGATCTACGAGTATTAAAACGGCAAAAAAAAAACATGTCTGTTGTATGGGAGCAGTACTTAAATATTTATTTTATTCTGTTTTTAGTATTTGTTGTTATAGCGGCAACAGGAATACATTATCTGTGGAAATTTCAACTGTCTAACTATCACGGTTCATGAGATACAGCTTGCTGACAGACGGACAGCGGAGTCTTAGTAATAGGGTCCGGTTTTACCCTTTGGGAACCCTATTACTATTACGGTTTTAAAGAACATTAAGATCAAACGAGGTATTACTTTAATGACAAAGAAAAATAAAGTTGCATTTTACGCTATGTACGAATACTCCTGAGCTGATTGCATACACTATTTGTATGAAAGAACGTCACTTGATGTATTCAGATTTAGTCATAGTTTTAAAAATATGCAATATCCTACACGCGTGTATAGACACGTGTATATTTTAGAGATTATTTTAATGATAGGTTCAAAACAATCAAAACAAACATTTCCAAAGAAAAATAAGAAGTTTGAAAGAAAACTAAAACAATTATTCAAATCAGTCACAACTTTAAAAAATTGAGCCGCTTTTTAAAGTCGATTAAAAATTTACAAAAAAAGTTACTAATTCTAAATTTGTAAATTCCCGTTGACTTTATGCCCCAACATAAGATTTTCTTTGTATGTACAAAATTTCTTCACTCCTCCGAGAATAAATGGTCCATCATTAATCTATGCAGCTACCCTGCGACTCGAGCGATGATGTACGGAGGTCTTTTGTTAAGACATACACCACATCTTAATATATAACGTTTGAGTCACTTGAAAATTTAAAATTCGGTTCAACGATAGAAATACTCGAGTGACATGGATTGTCTTCAATCCGAATAAAAAAAGGAATAAATTTCTGACAAATCATACTAAAAGTGGAATAAAAATTTAATGATTTCATATTTCCGCTTGATCGTGAATAAAATATTTTATGCCAGACACCTTGCTTTCATAACTCAGTTGCCCAATTGACCTACTGTGTCTAAAAATGTCCTTCAAAATTTATTACCACATTTCTCATTTGGACAATATACTGATTAAATGAATTGTGAAACCTATTAATAATTCAAACTATGAATTGGTAATAATAATAACTTCACTTTTAGTGCAGTGATGTCCTTCAGAGGTTATATTTTGTCCCTCTACGGCTCTACAAACACACGCGACTTCATCACACAGTGGAATTTGGCAGAATTGTTGACATCGGCGCAGTATGCCATAAACAAAAAATAAATTGAAAAGAAAAAAAAAACTTTGGACATCTCAGATACGGCGTTCTAAGCCCAAGCTAGGCAGCGTCTATCCTATGGTAACCAGACTGCTGATAAACATACTTATATAAGTACGCACGATCATTTGTTCTATGTCTGGGTGTAATTTATGTAATTACACCCAGACACAGAACAAATGATTGTGCTTATCATACAATTACTTGTCCTGGTGGGAACCGAACCTACGACCTCTGACTAAGCAGTCAGGATCACTTACCACGAGATAAACAGATTCGTGAGATGTAGGCAAGCATTGTGTACTTGTATACCCTTACTTACTTATTTTATCTCAAAGCCACTTAAATCCCCTTCTTATTAAAAGCACAGCATCGGCTGTAGGCATATCCATCACAAATTTGTACTCAAAATTGTCCCGAAACTTGAGACTTGAATTTATATTTAATTGAGCCACAAAGGATTTTGAGGGTCCATCCTAATTGTATGAAGTATCGTTTACATTTAATTGGTGTTTTAGATTGAATTATATGTAACTAGAAGTATGTATTTGTATTAACTGTTGATTGTTTTGGGGTCCAGGGCTTCTTTACTAGCCTTAATTCGTGGCATCATTCGCTTTAATAGGGATTCAGGTATTACTACGTGCTATTTCAGAATAGAATCTATCTTTGTGCTAAATATCATCAGAAGCAGACCAGCTGTTTTGACAAGTTTGAGTTGAAAATGTCAATACATCCATCTTTACAAAATTTTGCGTTTATAACATTATATTAATGGGATTAGTTATCGTCCGCAGTTTTGCTAGTTAGTCCGAAAATCTTTTGGTCAATGTGTATATACCACCGTATTGTTTTGTGAATACTTTCAGAATATAATCTGTCTCGCAAGGTTATAAACTGTCGAAAAATTGTGAAGTATACCATACGAGTACCTACTGTTTACAATTTAACGCGTTATTTTTAGGTAGGTTTTGATCTACCGGAGTGAAATTGTCAAATCATAATCATCATATATCATTATACATTTTACGATTGATGTTCTTAATCTAAGACACAATTACAAGATAATAAACTTACACGAAGAAATCTGGGTGGAATTTAAAATGCAAGGAATCTGAGTAGAAATAAAAATTCACAATCTTTTGGCAGTTTACAATCTTGCGATATAGAAAATAATCTATCGTTTTCCGGTGACATTTACAAAAAAGAGTGATAGTGGTTTGAGTAGTTAATTGCGTGACAAACAAACTCACATCCACAATCCTAACATTATTAGTGACGATATCTATATGCTTTATAGAGCATAAATTTATTGATAAACAAGCTAAGGGCCGTCTGATTCTCGGAGCTTACTAAACATGATCAAAGCTTGTCTAAATACAGTCTAATAAGTAAGTCTATCTTTTAGCGACAGATGAAATGGTAACTCATCAGACCCGAATTTCAGTTGTTGGTTTGTCAAAGATTTTGTTGGTCACGTATGTATTTTAGAGATACTTGAATAGTTTTGGGCACTACGATGCTCTTTTATCAAGTGTGATGCGACCTGCTCTGGTGGTAGTGGGCCCATACGTCATATTTCTATTATAAGCGTAGTTTGACTTTCCTTTCTAACTTATGAAACAGAAATGTAATTCAGAACCATCTAATAAAGATACAGCGAGCTACAGTGTACCTACTAATCCTAAATCGCGCAATGAATGTTCCTACGCCGATTAGTATTAGTATATACCATACAGAGCTATATAACTCTTAACTAAACCACATACATCAATAATTGCGCCGCGGCCCACCAGGCATGATCAGGTCGCCTCCCTTTGCGTTGGAGG